AACAGAATATTCGTTATTTCATGTGTTTATTTAGTTTCATAAAAGTGGTTATTTTTCAAATAATCAATAATTTTTCAAAGCAACAGATTTATGCTTATTTGTAACAATTCTCGTAAATTAATTAAATGATGTGACTTTTCTGCGCAAAGGATTATTTAATTTCAATGACTCTTCAGTTATATTGTTATTGCCTTTTTGTGAATCGATGGCAAACACAATATATTTAAATCAATAACACATCCGCACACCACTACAGTCTAAGACATCACTCATTTACTGTACAAAATAAACGTAGCGAAGTTGCTATAGTCAACTACTTTGCTGTATATTACCACTTATATCATAAATTTTAACAAGGTCTATAGTTTTTTTTGTTGTTGAAATTAATGAATTGTTAATACTATTATTCAAATTATCGTTCAATTCATGTATAATTTTATGCAAAATATATAAAATTTATGAAATATTCTGTATAACATTTTGTTGATAAATATTATGTTTCTAAACAAGTAAGCTATGGTGTGAAAAATGATTGTTATTTTTAGCCTGTGTTTAACACACATATATATGTGTTTCATTGGACTCATCAATATTATGATCACATCCGACAACTTAATAAAAATATATGACTTTTGATAAAATAAAAGAAACTTGGTGTTTATGGGACTCACTCATGCAATTCAGTCATAATTTTCATTTCTTGGCTATGATTTGATTTGATTTGTTCTAACGTTTGCTGTAAATATGTTTTCTCCAATTCAAGCATTTTTATCTGTTTTTAAGAGATTGAATAAAAATAAATGATTAAATTATTATTTGAAACTTAACTTAATTATAAATGAATCTGAAAACGATTTCTAGCTTTTCAATTGAAAATCTCGGTTTGAATTCAACACAAAAAGAGTATAAAAAAGGAGATGAAAAGAAATTGATTTCATTTCGCGTGAATTGTCTCTTATTTTATTTATATACAGTATATTATAGTTATGTCGTGAATGTGAACACAACCCGTGAATTGAAAGCAATTTTTTGATAAATAAAATTATATGCTCTACTCATAGGAAATTATATTTAAAATTAATATTTCTATTAATATATCAATTTTATGGGCAAAATATGTTTTTGAATGAAATCTAGTTTTAAAACATAATTACTAATAGAATTCAAGAATTTATAGCTATTTTTATACTCATTTGATTTTATTCTTATATGAAAATTATTGATTTGTAATCAAATGTATATAATTTTTTCATTCATCCCTTTGAATTCTTTATTAAGTTATACTGTATATTAAAGTTGTAGACAATTTTAAATAAGTAGAATAGATGGGAAGAAAATGGATCAATCTCACTTTTCAATTATCTATTAAATGAAAAATTCAATGAAATCAAAAATAAAATATAAAATTCCATAATTTTATCAAAATTCCTGAAAAATACCGAAAATTAATTGAACGGAAATATAAGAGATAAAAGAACAGACAAAACGAATCATTTATTTAATATATTATAAAAGTCTAGAAAAATGTCGAATTATTAAATCATTTTAATTTTACAAAAGAAAATATAATAACTATTGTTACTATTGTTAAATATAAGAAAAATTGTGGGTTTCGTGAATTGACGTGAATTTATTTTGATGACAAGTGCTAACAATTTTCACATATAATAAGTGAAATGTTGTGCTCGTAATCTGTAAACTGTTTTGACGCTCACCTGAGTCTGAAGGAGCATATGATAAGACGAGTTCGCCTGAGAATTATTTGTATCCAACATCTTATCTATGGTCTGATTGTTTGCCAAATTTTGCATCATTTGATCGTTTGGTTTGATTGGAGTCGAGTCTATCTCCGCTTTAGCTGTCATTGAATTGACAGGAATTTTGTTGTCAATTAGTTGTTGTGTTGTTGTCTTATCTTCTTTTTGTTCGTGAACTTTCAGTTTTGACTCTTCGGCTCTTTTCCTGATCGTTGTCCACGAGTTTTCATCTCCTCTTTCCGCGAGCGGATCAATCGTTGGTCTCAATGGTTCAGTCGTTGATCTGCTTTTTCTGGCACTTAGTCCTGAGTTAAGCCAATCATCTTTTTGATCGATCGATGGCTTTTGTATTACATCTTGCGATATCTGTGCGTTCGGCCGATTGGGTTCGTCATCATTATCTAATCCAAGCCAATCAGATTTGCCGCCAGACTTTTGTTTGCTACTAGTGTTCAGTGCATCGCTTTGTGTCCACTCCGACGGATCGATACCTCTTTGCCGATCTCTTCCTGATGTCTGACGATTAGCTGCCGTTGACATCAAATCTTTGCCAAATATGTCGTTATTCTCGTCATCGCTATCCATAAAACGGACAGATTTTCTTCTCGGAGTTGTATTCGGTTTATCCAAATCATCGGCCAATAAATCGTCCAAAAATGAACGTCCAATCGCTGATCCACTTCTTGACATTTTGGTGTTTAAAAGCTATTCAAACCTTTGCACATATAATTGTAAGTCAAATGAGAAAAATTGCAGACATTGTGCGAAAATTTCAAGACTTTACAGCACTTGTCAGTAATGTTTAATCAATAACTCCAAGTGAGTAAAAGAAAGAGAAAAGAGAAGGAAAAGGCCGAAGAGTCAAAACTGAAAGTTCACGAACAAAAAGAAGATAAGACAACAACACAACAACTAATTGACAACAAAATTCCTGTCAATTCAATGAAAAAGCGAAAGAGGAGTTCACGAACTTAGAGATGAGAAGAAACGAACAGAACATAAAAGAATTGGATTCACAACAGAATCTCAATAAAGAGAGAGAGAGAGAGTTATATAAGTTTGGTAACACCATAGATAGAGAATCCTTTAAAAGTGTACACTTAAATAGGAGCTGAATAGAGCCCTCGGCCACTATAGACAGTACACTATACAGTATACATAATGCAATACATTTGGTTCACAATAAATATTTATAGAGTATATCTTTTCACGACTTATTCCTTCATGTGTTTCAATAATATAAAAAATATTGTCTTAAAATAGAGCTGTTATACAATTGAATGGTTGTTTTGCATCCCATACTAGAAAATGAATTATATTTGCGATTAAATTATTTATTTCAAAGTAAACATTAATTTTGTTTACATTTGAACGAAACATTCAAAACGCTTACATTATATGCACTGTTATATCGAGTTATATAATACACAGTAAATGCAGATTAAAATCAAGTCTTTTGTTGTCATTTCAATACGGAATCCAACTTTTTTCTGTCGCTATGGAAATGATTTTTTTGCATTTAATATATAGATATATAATATTCTATATATAAGTATATATTAGAATTCATGCGAAAAACTTAAATAACAAAAGTGTTTATCTTTTAATTCTTTTTTTAAAGATTAAATAAGAAAATAGAGAATAGAAATTGAATGTAAGAATTTTTTTATTCAACGAATAATCCTAAGCAACAAAGCCTTAAGTAGTCTGGCCTCGTATGTGACCGTGTTTTTGCCCGGATGCAATGTCTCCAATTCTAGAGGCGCTTCTATTATAGTCTTTATATTCTTTCCGTATTCTTCGCATTGAGTGAAGAATTGAATGCATTCTTGTATTATAGAGTCGCGAATACAGATGACTTGTTTCGCCAGATTCTCCAGTAATGATAGAAAGCATCGTTTGGCATAAAACCAGGTGTCGGTCCCCAACTTCTTGTTGTACGGCTCCAGACTCTTAATGACTCGCGATATACCGAACTCGTAGTTTCCTTTCGCACAATACAAGGTTCCGATCACTAGATTCACAATACATAAGTGAAAGATCTTCTTCTCGGGATCAGAATAGGCCAACTGTTCCTCTTCTTTCTCTATCTTCCGCATCAATTCCTCCGCGTCTTCGTTCTGACCCGTCATGATATACGAGACGCACAGATTGGCCAACACTATAGCGCTTACGTTCAGGATTTTGTCGTAACTTTTCTTCACCAGAGGCTCGTAAAAACCTGTCGCCTCTTTGAACTTATTCTCCTTTTAAAGAAATAATTATTTACAAAATTAATTATATATTTGATGGAAATTCTGTTGTTTTTTAACTATATTTTGTTTTGTTTAACTAATGTTCGCCTAAATAAAATTGATATATATTTTTTTCTTTTTATTCCTATTTATATTTATTTACACGATATCTAAAACTCGCCCATCATTTCCAAAACCCTTCGCCGACTACTATCTCAGGAATATATGAATTAAATAATTCGCTTATTTTTATATTTCCTTTTCATATAAACAGAATCATGTATTCATTAAATAGTTTGCTGTGAAACTACTAACGAGTGTTTGAGAATGTTAAATGACCGGGGTCCACATGGAGTCACACTGCTTAATAAATACGATCCACTTAATGGCCTATTATATTGCGATATTATATTATGTTATATTAAAGTTAATGTGTAATTTGTAAGACATAAAAACATTGTGATAAAAATACTTATATTACTTATTTTCAAGTACAGAAGCGATATTTCAAAGCATAATATTATTTTTATGTTGAACTAAACCATACTTTCTTTATATATTTTTTTATTGAATAAAAGCGAAGTAAATATTGAGAGATGAGTAATTAGATTAATGTATTTTCTTCATACAAAGAGTGGTATGTATAGTATGTATAGCAGTGTATAATATAGTACATGTAAGTAAGTCATACCTGCATGAATAGGACGTGCGCTACATTCAGTTTCCACACGTCGTAATCATTGCAAAACTCGACTGACTTTCTGAATACTTTCTCCACTTGTGTGTAGTACTCGATATCCCAATAGATCTTCGCCTGAGCCATAAGCACCGGCAGATAGAGTTCAAGTGTGTCATTATAAGCCAAAGTGTGCTTTTTGGCCAATTCCTCGTTTTGGCTTTGCTTTGATTCCTGTATTTGTTTGTTAAGTTTGCGCAAAGAGTCCGTGTGTTTCGATGCCATCTCATCAAACTTTCTGTACGCGTCTTCTGGAGAGGTCTGTTGAGTGATGACAGCGTCGAGGAATTCGTATAAATATTGGCTCAAATACTTGTACGTGAAGTGTATGTTCTCTGCCATTACATCTGCGGCCAAATCGTAGTACTCGTACTTACAATACAATAGCAAAAGGTTGGCAAACGTTTCGGGAGGAAACGGATTCTGTTGTATCAAGAATTGCAACTTTTCAAACCCTTCGGTCGGATCCGTTTCCATTGACATCAGCGCCTGATTGTGAAGAGTGACCGCATCCAACTCTTCCTCAGACCGCGGAGGCATATCAGTGAGCGCTTCCTGTGCCGACTCGTAGTTCTTCAGCTGGTATTCAATGCCCGCCTTTAAGTTAAACGCTTCGACTAAAGCTGTCTCATGAAGTGTCAGAGTATTGCCAACACTTCTGACTTCGATCCCTTCTGTTGTCATACCGACGCTGAGCTCCGGGTGCTCTCTAATGCCCTTTTCAATGATGTCTCCGATGTGTTTCATCGCTGCCGAGTATTGTTTCATTTTGTAGTGACAGAGAGCTATGTTATAGAGAATGTCCGGCCGATAGCCCTCCACTTGTAGGCATTGTGTGAACTTAGCGATGGCCTCGTCATAACGGCCCTGTTTATAGAGAACTGATCCCAAATTGACCTCTTTGTCCGCATCTTCAGCACTGATTTGGTCGATGAGACTTTTGGCGGCCGGAATGTCGTCCTCGCAGTATTTGATGGCCGCCTGTAATTTGATTGTCTGAGCATTAAAACCAAACTTCTCTTCAATTTTGAACGACGCTTTCATTGCCTCCTCATATAGAGAGGCCTGATATAGGGATTGAGTGTAATTGATATAATACTGTTCCACATCGGGATAAAATTGTATCAATTGCTCGTAACAGTTGGTTGCGCTCATAAAGTCTCGCAAATGATAATAACAATAGGCCAGTAGTGAGAGGCCGGCCCTCGAGTTGGGACTGATAGCGATTTGTTCGTTGAGAAAAGTGATGACTTCTTTGTAATTTCCTGTAATTGCAATTCAAATAAGGCTTAATATTTTGTGCGCCAAATATGTTATATCTTCAGAAAATGAAATCTTTTATTTAAAACATAATTCAATTAACTTTGAATGTAATATAAATTATATTCTGTTAGGTATTTCGTTTGTAGTGTTGTGTTTGCATTCCGTATGGATTATAAGTTTTTCTATACAATTAACTGAATATTTGAGTTGTGATTAGTATTTGTTTTATTTGTATTTCGCTTTCGTCAACAAAATAAACATATAATCCAATTATTACGCATTTTTGGATTATATTGTTTTTGTTTTAAATTATTTGATTGTTTAGAAGTTTGTAAATATTTATAATAAAAATTTATTAGAAAGACAATGAAATAAGAATAGATTACATAAGAAAACATGATTTTAATATATGTATATATTTATGCACACATGATATAAATATAGTAGCAATGAGTTCTGTGTCCCTTTAAAATGACAACAGAATAACTAGTGATGGGCTGATAGTGGGAGTCATACCATACTTACCATTCCTATCGTCTCTATAATATTCTATTACTCTGAAAGCACTTTCACTTATATTACATCTCTTTCATACTTTCATACTATAGTTATGATTATGAGACAAAACCAATGTTTGCTCCACTCATGACTCTTTCTAACATTGATTTTGTGAACTTCTCTCTCTCTCTCTCTCTCTCTCTCTTCGGGCACTAAAGTGATGGAAAGTTTAATGTCTTTCCAGTGAAATGTTTATCTCTCTCTCTCTCTCTTTCTCTCTCTCTCTCTTATTTGGATGCAAACTAATGTCAAATAGTAGCCGTTTATATAAATTTACTCATAATACTACAGCATAGATGTGAATACCATAGTAATTGAATATTGTATTAACTTTTTTACTGGTAAACTATAATTTAAATGAAAAATTAAGTATAAATACAAACCATCTTTAATCCAGGTGTAGATAGTTTTAGTAAACTGACCCTGGTTAATTCTGGCACTGCTTATCCTCGTATTCATCGCGTTGTCTCGTAATATAAACGACAATAATATGTGAAGTATTTGTAGCGAAAGAAATCACTTTTGTGTTTGTGTTGAGACACAAGAATTGGTTGCTATAGCGCTATAACACAGTAACTGTTAGTACTGTTTGTCTCCACTTTTATCGTTCAAATTCTCTAATTTTGAGAATTAGGTTCTCTTTTCTCTTCTAATACTGTTTTCATTGTTCAAAATAACATTACTTTATGTCTTATATCAATATAAATGCTACACTTATTTCATATAACACTACTCTACGCTACTGTCAACCCATCCAACCATATCCAATAGAAATCCTTAAATATATAAATCATATTTTAATTAATTTATATCATTTTGTTAATATCTTAATGGATTTATTGCTTTAGTTTTTTCAAAAATATATGAAATATTAGAAATAATTTATTAAATTACAAATTATTTAAACATTTTATATTTGTAATTAAAATGATTGTTTTTATTGTAATAAGATCTCTATTATATCGTTAAATTATGTAAGAATATATACGTGTTGTTTGTTTCAAACATCATAATAAGATTTTATTTGCATATTTATAGACAAATTTATCATTTTAATATTGAAATTCTCTATACTATCGCTTTAGATATTACTTAAATTTTAAAAAACAATACTTAATAATTTATTTATAAAAGTCAATTTTTACATTCAATAGAAAAAACATTTAAATATTAAAACATGAAATATTTATTTGTTTATTAATGATGGTATCCATTATAATCAAAATAATTAGTGATAATCAAAACAGTAATAATTAAATTAAAAGCAAAAATATGTAATAAATTGCAAAAATATGGTATGAAATCAATAGAGAGTAGAAAAATACAACTAATAGATGGTCTGAAGCGAAGACCTGCCGCTAAGCGAAGGCATCGCTGCCTCGTATGATATGCTATACATGAGCCGCGACTGTGCACTCAATATACCTTTTGGTGATTGTTTGCAGCAATTCCTGGTATAGTTAGGATGAAGTTGAGGCCAACAAACAAGTGCTATACAACCAGTAGTTGTCATACTTTAACAAAAATTGTATCATTAGTTTCAGTGATCATATCATCATATCTTTTCAATACAAATATATGTTTTTAAACTTTGTTACCAAAAGTATATCCCGTTATTAAATCTCTTTATTTCTCGAAAACACAATTTTATCGCTCACTCAATAATAACTTTGTTTAATTGTTAATAATTTTGCTAAAAATCACTATTTTTAATAATTATTTTTAAAAAATAAACTCATCAAAAGTTTCCCACGAAATCTAAGACAAATCAAATGATTAAAAAATGCAACTCAAGATAATTACTGATCATTTCAAACAGAATTCTAGTCAAACAATTCACTTTGTATTACAAAACAAGTTTGAAAGTAATCGCAAAATTGTAAAATCATTTGTGTTTTATATGAACGACAAAATTGAATTTATAAATGTCTTAAATCTTATTTTTAAAGGATATCAATGAAGAGAATGTAAAAAGCGAAATGAATGTAATCATTGGCAATACGAGTATTGATAATCACCGCATATATTAAATAATAAGGACATGTCTTTTGGATTATATGCTATTGAAGAAGAGAAATATGAATAAATTGAAAGCTCTATTGAGAGAACATTAAATAGTTTGGGTCCCAAAAGAAGAAGAAACGGAAAGAGATGTTGAAATTGTGAACAATTGGTTTGTGTCCGACGAAAAGAACATAATATAAAATCCAAGGAATCCAAGGCATCCATTGGATTTGGTGGCGAATACAATGCAAAGAAGTATTCGTATGAATGATCTGCAACTGTTGGCTCTATCGGAGAAAGCACTGAACGATAACGGCCTTCGCGGACACCTATTTAAACGGACGTCAGATAATAGCAAATGGCAATTACGATGGTTTGTTCTCTTCCAGAATATTCTCTTCTACTTCGAGAACGAGTCGTCGAGTCGGCCGTCGGGACTCATTTTCTTGGAGGGTTCGTATTGCGATAAAGTCATACAACCGTCCACTGGGAAAAACACCCAACAGCAAACAACACAAGTAAGTCTATCGCTATTTCACACATCTCGTTACCATCATCTATGATGTACTCTACTTTACTATATGCCCCGCAATACAATACTTTATATTACCATCCATTACAATATTGCCTTCGTTTTCATATCCATTTTCATCGGCTAACTATCGCTCAATTTGTGTGTCAAACAGTGTCTAATAGATACTGTGTTTTCTGCCGCCCGATAATTAATAAGCATTTTCACTGATCCTATCATTCATTAATTCTTAGCTTTTAGAGCGAAATCCATACGAAATTGAATTGAAAGCTTCGTGTAATTGCTCCGCTTTTTCTATCACTCTATATATCATTGGATTAACAATTAAAACATAACATTACATAACATATTATAAAAGAGTAGAATGTCTGTCCTCTGATTGTTAATCTTAAAGTTCAACAAAAAACAACAATTAGATTGAGTCAAAAAGAGTCAAAACATTTTATTCCTGTTATTGTTTCAAACAATTAACTTGTAGTGAGTCTAAGACTTATCAGACATTTCATAGTGAATGTCATTAAAATGTATGAATTGTGAGTTAATAGGAATTAAACGCAAGGATTGACTTCTTTATATTACTGACAAAATTACTTCGTTAAATATTTTTCCCTATTTTGCTGCAAAACAACTTGTTTTGTAACCAAATATTTTGTTTTTTAACTTTATGACATTTTAATTATATTTAGTGCATAATTATTCAGTGAATGCAATTTAATGGGAAGTCTTATAGGTTTTAGAAAAATATTTATTTAAATAATTAATAATTTATAAAACATTAATATTGTTATTACAAATTAACTACAATTTTGCCAATTTCTTAACTCTTAACTCTAATTGCGATGAGTTTGAGAGTAAAGCTATATTATAATCACAATGTTTGAAATGAAAGCAAACACTTTATTTGACAATTGATTAGACTTCGTGTAAAAGCGTTTGCCGAGCGCTAAGAAGACTGACATTTATGTATTTATTTAATAAAACAAATTTCGTTAATTATATTTAAGTGTTGAACAACTGTTTAATTATTAGACATAACTGTGAAACAAAATGTTATTCTTATCTGACATTTGTATCAAACAATTAATTGGAGTAAAAAAAAGCCAAGTTTTTGTCAGTTAATAACCAAATAATATGATTCAATACAACAATTGTTTGCAATTAAAGAAAAGTGGCATTTATTTCGTTTGCCTTCTCTCACACTCCACTCTTTCACTACAAACAAAGTTTATATTGGATTTTACAGAGTATTGAAGTGTTATTGTTATAAGTAGTAAAAAGTGTCATCGATTTGAAGACATAATAAAAAATGTCACATCAGTCATATCAGTCATATACTGTTCGCCCAAAGCGTTATACATATAACGAAACAAATTACATGATATATTATGTGTTTAACTATTTAGTAAATATTAATATCAAATCCTAATAAATCCATAAATTCTCAGTAAGATTAAGCTATAATTCTTGTTAATAGAGTGTAATGTATTTATATTTACATGATATTGTCCAACACTTACTATATTAATGCACTATCTCTAACATTATAATTACATTTCTTTAATCTTTGCCACAAATGGTGGCAATTTTGAGTGAAAAGTTGTGTTTGTTTCACAAAAAATAGCAAACAGTCGCAACTCTTTGAAACAATTTATGTTCAATGAATACAAATTAGGGAAAGAGAAAGTGAGAAGACATTAACATATAATGCCTTAAATTTTATTAACTTTTAAAAATAGAAATCGATTGCAATTGAGTTGCATTAAGAGGTAATCACTTGATATTCTGGCCATTAATGATGCTTAAGATTTAAGTCACTTCAACAAACAATTTACTACTAAATCGTCTGAACTAATACTTCAACTCATCTCAACCTATATTGTGACCAAAAACTCTCTCACTATTCACTCAATTTCTTTCCAATTCAATAAACTTTTAAATTATACTTAAAGTAATTGCTGTAACACTGATAACCATCACTTGTACGACCAATTACTTGTTAAATTGATCAGTTTCGATATATACAGCACATATACAGTGTATATGCTATAATCTTGATCTTTATATAATATTTTATATATGCAGTATTTAATTTTAAAATTTTTAAACTAAATTTATATATTAAATTTAATTATCAATTGTAGAATTGTAATAAATAAATATTACGACGAGTTAAACTACTAGTCTTAAAATTAGAAATATAAAACATAGTAAATATTTACAACAAATTTAAATAAGGTTTGAGAGCATTTGAATGTGATTTTGTGGTATAGCCTATAATCCATGATATATTAAATAATGTTTAGAAATGTTTCAATTGTTTGATGCGATAAATTGATTATATAATAAAATGTCAAATAGAGTTTCAGTGGTCGACAAAACAGTTATGTTTGAAATAAAATCGATAACTTTATAATGCGATTGTATTACACAAGAAAAACTTACTTTGATATAAATTTTGCGATACAAGAGAAGTAATAGATTATTGAGTATTGTATAAAATTGTTTAATGCTTTTTAAAATCATCAATAAATTGTTGAATCTATTTGTGCACTAAAAAAAATCTATACTAACTTTTACTATAAAGCAATGTAATATATCTGATAGCAAATTATATAAATAATTCAAATTACAAAATTTAATTCAAAAGTCTTCGTCTGATTTGAATAAAATATACTAAATATAGTTTGAAGTGATTTATGAATAACTAAATGGAGAATCGATAGAATTGATGCGATGGCTGTTTCTTCAATGCCCTATACTATAGACACACTATTATTGATTGCAATACAAGTCTGAAACGACAGAAATCATAAATTAAATAATTAATTATTAAAACAATACTTGCGAAGAGAGAATCAAAGGGAAATTTAAATTGAAAACTAATTACTAAAACAGAATTAAACAAATGAAGAGATAGGAAAATCTCGACCATTTATTTATTTGTAAATTTAACCGCTAATGCATATGAGATCTAAAGATCAA